AACGTTAGTCGATTTTCAATCCTCGACTTTCCAATCGTAGTTATAGCTATCGTAGCTATAATTTTTTTTTCAGCAGAAGAATTGGCGTGGAAATGAGTGAAAAATGCATTATTGTAATGAAAAAAAGTCAATGACGTCGAACCGGCAAGAAAAAATGAAAGGAGGATGGGAGAGGGAGAAAATGAATATGACTACGAGTTGAGCGTTGATTCCATTGGCGTGGGACACTCGACACGAAGAAATTCTAGACGATCCTCAAGCCAGCTCTACACGATTTGTTCGCGCTCTAATTATAAAGCACGCTGCTTCTCATAATCCCCTGCCATTTCCGGATTCTAACAGATCAGTAGCTCAGCTCTCGTTGACCTAAATGGCGCTAGGCTGCAAAGGGAGAAGTGTCATTTTTTCGGAGAAACTTCCACTCTTGGGAAACGTGACCTCTCTAATTTCAACTGCCTTTTCCTTTTCACTCATCAACCCAGTATTCCCAAGAATCTTCTTATCATTGAACCTAACATACGTCCTGTGCCTTGTATCCCTCAGTTTTATTATTATATTAATTACGTAAGCACGCGAGTCTATTGGCCGATTAGGAAAGCAGCAAGGCCGTTCAATAGCGTTTCCGTTGAAAGGTGTCGTTTACCTTGCCTCGGAACCGGGATACGCGATATACCGGGTGCCACACTCTCGAGAATAGGTTTGCCGTTCCACTTCAGCCATTGATAACGATAAGCTCGCGATACCGTGTCTATTTTTAGCGCATCGACGAATCAGCTACTTGTATCCACATAGAAATTTGCCATGAAAATGTATGGGCGGTTTCTTATTTTGTTTTTTCTTAAAGGAGAAACAAAAGTGGAGGAAGGTTTGATTGAATTTGATTCTCCGGTGACGGAAAACCCAAAAGTGCGCCGAGAGTGCATTCTTCGAAGCACGACGAAGGTTTGCAAGGGGCTTGATGAATTCCTGTTAAGAAAAGACCCTTCGTTGTAACGCACCCTGTAAGCATATGGTGTTTTCGTTCCACCCTAGCGGCTCTTCCTCAATTTCTTTCCCCTCCCACCCCGAATTTTTTTATGTTTCACGCTCGATACGCCAGATTACCCGGTGGATTTTCGTTTAACGCGGAGTGGACTTCCTCTTCTTCGTCGAATTCTTGCCTGTTAACTTCCCCCATTAGAACGATTCGTTTACACGAAGCGTGTCTTTCTTGGCTTCCCGTAGGGGAGACTGTTTAATTCTTCCAATTTCACTGCCCTCTTCTATTTCTCTTAATCCTCCGCCTACTGTGCCGGGGTCACAGTTTTGACCTGTGCTGGGAGTTGCTTGTGTTAGCGATCGCACTAACGCATCATGCGGCTGTGTACCATGTGTTCGCCAAATTGCCGAAATGACGACGACTAAAGACGAAGAAAATCAGTTTCTGGTAACGTTCTGAGGAAGAAAGACGTGTACAGCAAATCGAGGCAATATTTTATTTCAAAGTTTGTTTTATATTTTGGTGTTTTTACTATTGTTTTAGTATTTTAGTATTTAATAGTTTTTATTATTTTTTTTTAGTATTTAATATTTTATACGATTTTTGTATTTAGTATTTTATATTATTTTTGTATTTACTATTTAGATTTTAGTTTTTAGCACTATTTTAATATTTTACTATTTTATATTATTAATTTACTGTTTTTATTATTATTTTTGTTCCTTTGATTACTTTTTCCGTTGTTTCTATTTGTTGACGCAATGTCTTCATTGCCAACGAGCAATCATTCTTTGTCTTCTTTTGCTCAATCTGCACAAGACGTTCCTGACAGTGAATGACATAAATATATAGTAAATATATGTAACTTTATTATTCATGTGACTATTATTTGTTCTTTATACTTCTACATGTTCCTATGAGTCGGGTGTCTGTCACTCTATTGGTACAATATCTGCGAGGATCTCGGTCTCGAACGATCGTCACACTCTGTACAGTATCGGTGAGCCGTCCAGGCAACTCTAAATATGTATTAGTGGAATATCCGTGTGGGTCAAAATAACCCAGGGACGTTGAAATTCAATAGTCGGAGGGTTAATTATACAAAACGACTCGAATTTAATTACTCGAGATACTCGATACCAGCTGAGTAATCACTGACGATGATTCTCGACGGAATTAAAAATTGCATGTCATTTAGATGGAATTTCCGATCAATTCAAGTTTTATTTTCATATCATTTGCGTTCAAACGGCCCCGTGCGTATGTAGATACACGATTGTACTGAAGAAGCCAGCTTTGACGAATTTCAAACTCCTGAACGGAAATATCCTGAACGTATATTTCGGTTCGTATAGCCGGCTGCAAGTTATTGATGTCTCTGTGACGGGGTGGTTTCTTTCTTGAACCAGTTGCTGACGAGCGACAGACCCTCCCTTTGACACTTGTATGCGGTCGTCTACACGCTTTTTCATGCCTTCCGTATTATTTTCTCTTTCATTAGCCGCCGCCAACTCGAAAAACACACACTGCCGATCGAATACGGCTCCTCTTTGGACCACGGGTGTCATTGGTAACTCAAAATGCACCACTTTACTCGTACCGTTACATAAATAAAATATCGCGGGGAACCTGATCGACGTTGTTGTGCTACAAAAATGTTTTACAAGATCTGCTTGTCTAGTTTTATAGACAGAACAAGCAGAGAAAGATGAAGCGTCGACTCTTCTACTAACTACCAGCTGTTTTTCTTGAAAATTTTTTTATTGTTTTCAAAGCCTGCATCATTTTTAAAAGAGAAACAATATTCACACGAGACAAGTTTAAATATTTACGAATTTCTTTTCGAAATCTCCAAATAAAATGATAGTTATTGACTCATAACGATAACTACTACGTTTAGCATGAGTCAATAAAAATTATACAATACGAGGACACGAGAAAAATATATTCGAATTTAAAGTGGAAATGGCGAAATCGAAATCGAATTAATTTCCACATTCTATGAAACGTCTGGTACATGTCCAAAGCTCTGAGACGACTGGTTTTGAAAATGGAATTAAAATTATCGAACAGAGAGAAACCTTCGTGAGAGATCGACATTCGAGGAGAGATCGATGTGTTACACGAGCACCTGGGAATTCCGCGTAAACTGCATTAATGCCCGCGCGTAAGCGTATTGGAATTTCTGCGATGAATCAGAAATCTCGCAACGTCGCGACAACTCTTTCTCTTCTTCGTTTCTGCGGTGATTACATATACGGTAGCATGAAAGAAACGACGGAGATTCCAACAGTCCAGACGTGTTTTCTAACGCGACGTGTTTATAAGAACGGCGTGCACGCGTTATGGCTTTGTTAGAGCTCGTTAGAACGGAACACGCCAACTCTCTATCGATTCTCGGTCCTCGTAAAACTCCACCGAGAATTCTACGATGTAGGCGTGCTAGGACCCGGTTGTTTGCTTAGCTGAAACGCAAATACGACCAGGAACCTGGCATTACATTCTCCGTAACGAAATTGAAATATCGAAAGTATCGAAATTTCAAGGAAACACGTTCGAAAAATAATTTTGCTCGAAAATAATTTTTTTTACAAAATAAATACACGACTGTCAAAAGTGTATGAAATGTTGATTGCACAAACACATATACGCCGATTATTCCAGAAACATAGACGAAACTCTAAATACAATATTTGAACAAATGCGTAGTAATTGGCATGCAACGTCCCTAAACTCGTTCAAACACGTCCGCGGCTAATCCCCATTCAGAGTGCCGAATTCATCCCAGGAATTAAATAGCCAAACAAGCTGTACGTGTAAAGTGAGGGATGCGTATTGACGTTACAAAATAATATACGATGAAAGAATAATCTCTGTATTCTCTTTGAAAACGTGCTCGGCGAACGTGGCTGTGGCTTAGCGAAAATCCGAACGAGTTCAATCGAGCTATCACGAACGACATATTCCCTCGGTGTTGCATAATTTCGCTTGGTACGCTCGGTGAAAATCATTGTGCGTTGACACGTAGCTGGTGACATTCGAACGATGGCAGCTTTTATAGCTGGGCACGATTCACTGCGTTTGGCGCGGATTGTTACAGTTGGATATAAACCGTGGCTTGCGGTCATAAAATCTGCCTACACGTGTTTTCGAAACGCTGAGTGATACTTGCAAACGTGTGGGCCAAGTCTTCGGTTGGTAACATCTGGCTTATTGACAGATCGGAGTTCGAACGCTTACAATTAGCTGCTTCCTTCGATCGTAACTTAAACTTCTTCAGTTTGTATAAGTTAACTCTTTGTAACACGGACTGGACGAGAAATGTCTTTGTACTAATTTTAGTACATTACGTCTTTTCGATTGAATGTTTCTCTCTGCCGTGGTTATCTAGACTACCGGTATATATAATGATTTTAAACGTTTAATGATCATTTGAATGAGCGCTTGCCTTGATTTTGTCCACGTGAAATTAATGTCAATTTTCACACTCGTGAAATGTGTATTTAATATTAGAGACTACCGCTGCGTAAACGAGGCTTTAATCTTGACATATGAATACACACAAGCGTGACTTTTAACCATCTGCGAACGGGGTGATCTGGTGTCTGGTTTATTTTCGGTGTATGCATCCCCTCGTAGCCGGCGTATCTGAAGGGTTGATAGCGTTTTATGCAACGCGCGTGGCCAATGTCTGTCCCCGAGTTAATTATGGACTAATTGTCAGGGTTCTTGTCCCGTGCATCGGGTCTTTACCATTTTTTTTCTTTTTTCATGGCTCTTCCTGCGACAACAGGACGTCGTTTTCTGCCCTTCTCTTTTTTTTTAAAAATCTCGCGTTCCTCTTTTAGAATAACCCCCTCTCTCTAAGTTTTGAACCGGAAATCTTCAAAATAATATTGCAAGTCAATCGAAATATTATTGTATACTCTTGATATTAGGAAGAGGAACGGTGCAACGTTTAAAAATTTTAAAGCCTCTGCTAGAATATTTCCATACTAACAGTCTTCGATTTTCTTTTCAGACAACCATAAAGGTGTACGCCAACTGTCTTCGACCAGACATCGAATACAAAACCCTGTGCATCACGTATGAAACGACTTGTCGTGAGATCATTCAGAACTTATTGAACAAGTATCGTATGAGGCACCGTGATCCCCGGCTGTACTACCTCACCATGGAGGTCACCGTGAGAAGACCGAACGTGAGGACAGTTCTCCCTCTGGACGAGGACGCAAGGCCTGCCGTTTTGCAATCGTGTCATCCTCGTGGCGATTCCAGGTACGATTTCTGACCGCTCTGTCTGTCCTCTCATCGAAAGACATTCCTCCCCCTCGGTTTCGGTCGGCTTCGTGATGTAATTTCAGGGCTCGCGACCGACCGTAAACACGACTTCTTGTGGGTCGGCGAGCACGAGCCAACGACGAGCAACGTCCTTTCGAGAGATTCCCTTTGTTCTGGCTTCTTCGAGTCGTCTGGCTCGACCGTGCGAGACGTGCCTTTATTTATGCTAACGAGTTGGGGAACGGACTGAAGGATCGTTGCTTCGTCGTTTAGTTAAGATTTTTAATCGGCAGAGAAGCAAGGCTATAAATACCACGAACTTTTGCCCAGCTTCTGGTGACACGGACTTTTCAAGATGGAAAATTGCCGCGCTGTTCGTGGACAGATAAATTCACTGTAATTTTTTTTTTTAATCTTTCCTCTGCGATACTCGTTACAATATATCCAAATTTTTACCCGAATTTTTTATTTCTTTAGTTACTCGCGTATTCAATAATTCACGAAGGCATAAATCTGCATAATTTTCGTAATTTTTGTATAACAAACTCCAAACGAGGATCTATTGTGTTTCAATATTAAACTTTTAAATTGAGAATTCAGATGCTCCTTTTGGGAGAGGTCTGCGAACAGGAGGAAGGAACGTTTAGGTCTTAAGTGTCGAAGCTTCTGTCTTCAGACAGAAGAAAGGATGGAAGTCAGCAGTGTTTTCTTGGTAGCACGAAACTTCCGGCGAAGATATACGTTACGTATACAGACGGTGTTTGACTGGAAATTTCGGGTCCCGTGTTTCTACGTAGAAGTAGCGTTCGCCGATGCCCTTTGAACTCGCCGATTCCTACGATACCCACGAGATTCACGGATGTTTTCTTGTTGCAGATTCTCGTTGCAGACACGCCGCGGAGGACTTGTCAAAATATACGACAGCACGCTCATGTCCGGAGTAAGTTACGCACACTTTACTAACATTTTACATGCGTTTCCTCGTAATTTACTTTGCCGGTTCCTCGAGCGAGATACATCAGCTGGACTATTGCGTTTACTCATTTTCACTTTCATTTTCATTCCATTTTGCGTTAAACAATCACCGAATTGCTGTTACAATTTTACTGCACCAAATAACAGTAGAAGAGTAAAAGTTTGATGATGTTTTTAATTATTTATTCCGCGTGCCATTCTACGGATATTTTTACGAAGAATGATTTACCATTTGCAGTCAAAGTACAAGAGTCTACTAGTCTCGGAGCAGACCACCGTGGACGAGCTGATCCAAATGTTGTTGAGCTGCTACAGTTCCAAAGAACGCGTCGAGCAATTCTCTCTGTATGAAGTGTGCGAGGGCGAGGAGTATCAAAGGAAGTTGCATCCTGACGATTTGCCCCTTAAGGTCACGCAACGATGGACAAGCGCCGATCGCCATCTTCGTATACGACGCAATCCTGACTACAATCCTCACAGAAGAAAAGTAAAGAAACCATCAATCAATTACCTTTCGAGTCTCTCAATTGTCTTAGAAATTTTCTAAATTCTATTCTATTTTTATTGAATATTTATGAGATAATTTTCTTGGACTCTATTATTCAATGAGAGACAGAGACTAGTCGATTTCCAAGAGGCCAAGAGAGAGAGTTCTCACGCTGCAAAGCATAAAGGATGTTCCTGGAAACTTGGATGTTTAAACTCCAAGATTGCCGGTCGTAATTACGCGTACGGGCGCATCACGCTGCGTCAGCCAGCATCATCGGCGTTATTCATAAGAGTATAATAGAAAGTCAAATTCGTTACACAATCGTCTTGTTCGCAGAGCATGTGGGCGTCAGACTCGAGCATCAGCATGGCGATGTCAAGACTGAACCTCCACGGCACCCATCAGGCCCATTACAACCCAGGAAACGACAACAACAATCACTTGTCGTTGTACCAGCACAAAGATACCAGCTCGATCAACAACAACAACATCCACAAGATCGATCAGCATCACCTTTCCCTGGGCTCTCTGAATCAGCAGCCAAGAATCGTGGTGCCCCATGCGACACAGTTGCCGCAGTTGCAAATCCCTCGTCTGCAACAGCTGCCTCAGAGCGTCCCGTCGACGCCAATCTCGTCGAAACACATCACAGCGTCCTCCTACGCGGACTACGAAAATTATTTGTTCATATAAACGAATCGTCGTGTAATGAATTTGTACTTTGTTTGAAGATGAATCCGTGAGTGTTGTGCAGCATGGGAGTGAGAGATCGAGTTGCAGCTTCGTGTGAAGTATGCTGATGATGATTGGTTGCAACGTGTCGTGTCGATTGCGTCGGAGCAGTATTTGAAGTTTGGTTGAAGAGCGAAGAGAGAGTTGATGAATTTGACGAGATATTTTTCAGGTACGACTTAGTTTTCTTTGGAAATTAATTGATCTGCGGGGAAATTTTTTTTTTTGGGGGGGGGGGGAGGGAAAATTCACTTTGAAAGATGAATACGCGTGCGAGATGATTCTTTTAAATTTTAAATAATTTATGAATGATAGTTAGAGAGAGTGGTGAAGAATTGGAAGTAAGTAGATGGTAGAAAAGCACGGGTTCGTGTCTCGGCTATACCACGTCGATCAGACGAAACAAAGAGAATTTACGATTATAGTCAACGGCAAGAACAATTGTACCAAAGGTAGACGTACGAAATGTTAGGTAAATAATACATTTAGCCGTATATTGTGTAAATGTCTTGCGTTAGAGAGGTATTATTATAAGGAACATAGTCGGACACAACGTGTAAGCCTCTGGGACTTACCTGAACGTAGTCGCTAAAATATTTAATTAAGCTTTTGAGAATCTTGCGCGTGGAGGAAAAGATATTGGCGATGAGGATTTTTATACAATTTTTCTAGAAATGGTACAAAATAGTCCCGCGGGTCTCACATGTGTATTTATATTACAAAAAGCATTTTATCCAAGAATATCGCGGAATGTAACTCTATTATTTATTTATAACAATCGCGTAGCATCTAAGAGAGCAAACTTGGAATTTTAAGTTATTTTAGCAGAATCCCATGCTGTAAATTTCGTCGTGTAACACGATCGAATGGGATTCAGGTATATTCGTGTAAATACCTATATCCAATAAACGACGAGGTACTCGGATGATTTTGGTAATTGCCTCTAAAGTAGCCAGTCGTGACTGTAAAAATGTTTTATTCGTCGTCCAGTTTCATTTTCATGGAAGAGGCATACTAATATCATGGAAAATATCACATTTTCCGTTTATAAGACAAATCTGTCTTTTCTGCTCCATTCATCGTGTTTCGTTATAATTTTGCATCGATTGCCAAAGAGTCCTCCACAACGTGAATCTGAAAACTGCCTGGATTTAATCGTGTGTGACAAAACGAGCAGAAACTATCTGTTTTTTTTTTTTTTTTTTCACCACTTGTACGTGCTGCAATCGAGATTGCGCAAACTAGTCGCGAGTTCCGCGCGACTTATCAGCTTAACTTGTAACGAGTACAATGAACCATGTGTTATTCCGAACGATACGGTAGGGTGTAAATATTCATTTTGTAACATTGGATAAAAAAAAAAAAAGTATTGTCTTATGTGTCTAAAAATTTGATGGATTTTCATTCACCTACGATCTTCACGTTTTCCTACAATAAAATGAGACGCGTCTAACAGGATGGCATAAATAGTAATTTCATTTATCAATTAGATTAGGCATAGGAATAACAACACGTTGCATCGTGTGATGATAAAAATTTTATTTACAAATGCGACAAATGTAGGAATTTTGGTTACCAGTGACGTATCGGAGAGAGACGAGTATAACGAGTTGGTCGATTATCGGTCGCCTATACTTTCAGGATTATTCCTAATAATAGTTAACGCCCCCTGTCCTTACCCTGAAACCATCGCTATACAATTTTCATCGGTATGTTTCTGAAACGCGTACACTCGTCGACGGACACGTCGTTCTCTCCGTGATATCACTGATAGAGGAGAGAATCACTGAGATGTAACAATAATAAACTTTACATTAAATACGATTAGAATCTAGCTATTTTTTTTCTTTTTTCTTTTTTGTTTCTTTAAAGGACTATGCGGAGTGTTACAGTAATAGAAATATTCATTTTCCAAGGAAAAAGGGGTTCGTCTTGCGGGATACTTTCTGGAAAAGTCGGGGATGGGCCGTATCGAAGGGGTGGCGGAAGGACAAATATAGGGGAGGGGAAATATATTTTTTTTTTTTTTCGTTTGAAGTTTCAAAGGATAACATCACAGCATTGACATATCAACATCGAAACGATCAAAGCATCGCGCTCCTCGAGATCCTTTGACCTCTCTCGACCAAATTGTTCGATCGAACATCCCTATCCGCTGTTTCTCGATATTGATAATTTCATACCAGCCTCCGTCGAAATCGCATCGAGCAAAGACAAGAATGACAGTCGAGGGACTCTCGAAAGGCGCGCTGCCACGGCCGTAGCACTTTTCATTTTTGCTATAGAACAATTTACAACATTTCGTTTAATGAATCGCCTCAATTCCATCTCCGAATAACAGCAGCTCGCGCACACTGAACCGCAAATCCTCTCGTACTCCTCTTTCCTCCCGTTTTGTTTTTTTTTCTTTTTTCTTTTTTTCTTTCTTACACACCCGACTCGCCCTTTCTCTCGATTTCGTTCACACAAACGCGTACAGGCATACACTTGCTCCACTTTCTCCTCTCATCCATTACACTCGATACGAATTAGACGAATCGTATAATTCGTTCAACAGCAAAGTAATCGATTATCCATTTTCGTGACTCGCACGCCGATCCCTCCGCGACAACAACGGAATAAAATTTTCGCCCGAGGGAAACGAATTGGATTGTTCCCTCGTCTCAACTCTTTCTCTTTCTTCTTTTCTCTTCTGTCTTTTCCTTTTATTCTCTCTCTCTCTCTCTCTCTCTCTCTCCCATTCTTTCTTCCTTTCTTTCTTCCTTCCTTTCGTTCGCATGTCTGCAATGGAAATCAATCACACGAGGGAATAATAGACAATATACAATAAGGGAAAAACGTTTGATCCAACGAACCAGCCGCAAAAAAAAAAAAAATAAGTAACCGAGGACGTGGGTGCGCGGCGTTTGTTCCTTCGTCAGTGGATACACGCGCGCACCACGTGGGACAGACACGCGTGAAAGCACGTCGACAATTGAACACGTTAGAATTCACGTACTTACACAGGCGACAGGACTTCGTCCTCGGAGCGACGCCGGTTGATTCGAATCGACGATCGTATTTAATTATATACGGGACGGCGTGACAAAAAGCAGCTCTTAGCAGTTGCCATTTTTTTTTTCTTTTTTTTTTTCATTCGTGATCGTATCGACGGCACATACATACTTGCTTTTCTTTCCTCAACGATCAGCTATCAATTTCGCTAAACAAAAACGAAGGAAAAAAAAAAAAGAGAGAAGAAAGTCGCGAAAATCGTCGATCAGTTTCCGAGCAAATTGACCGAAAGTGAGTCGAGGAATATTTTCAGCCGCGCTTTTGGTATTTTTTTTTTTTTTCTTTTTCTGTTTTTATGGATATTCAGATCGCATGCAATCTATCTGCCTCTAGTACAGCTCGTTCTAACTCTAAAACATCTCTAGAATCGTTATGTGATCGACGGTGAACAGCGAACCGTTGTGCTTCGTTTTCTGTTTTACTATGATTTTGTCGCCGTTTCAGATGATTACGCCTAATAATTGAATATAGAAAGCAGCAGCAGGAAGCCGATAGAACACGTCGATTTTCCATTTACGTTCACGCGCGAACGTTTTCCCGTTGATGCGTAATCAGAGACAAAATCACGATCATCGAGTCAAACCGACAGTGGCGTCCATTACGATCCTAGCACCACTTTTCTCTTACTCTTCGTTTTGCTCTACTTTTCTCTCTTTTTCTCTTTCTCTCTGTACACAGATATATATACTATATATATTTCAAAACCACGTTGTATCGCAATTTATCCAACAATATTTCATTATGAAATCCGCAATATCCCTAAAGCAAACATAACATCGAGATGTGATCCACATCGACGAAGAATCTGCTAAAAAATCGTTCGCAAGCAGAACGAACTTTTTAACAGAATGTCGAGATCGTGTGAAACGATCGTTCTTCGTCCGATGCTTAGCTCTCTCGGTTGCGTCTTATTCTCTTATTACATTTTTTTCATTTTTGGACCTTCCAACCATTCGTGTAATTGGAGTTGCATTCTTCAAGGAGGGGCGGCGATCGATCGCACGGCAAAAGCAACCTGAATTTCAACAACACGTTCACGTGCACGCACCGTGCAAGCCAACGCAGACAACTCACTCTTTAATTAATTAAAATTCGCGCCCTATCTATTTAAATATTCTTGACTCTGCGCAACTCTTGAAGAAAAGCACACCCTGTTTCATTCTCTTTGCCTTTGTTTCTCGCTTCCAGTCTTCCCTCTCTCGTCTTCTTAAACAGCTTAAACATCGATATTTAGTATGTTCTCGTTCAGAGTCTTTCAGAAGAAAATTCGATTGTGTTCCCGATTGGACTTTCAGCGTTCCTGCGTGTCATCGCAATTTCCAGTGAATTTCTTTTTTTTTTTTTGTTTCTTGTATCACATAATATATATATATTTTTTTGTCTTTCGAATTTTTCTTTTTTCATTTTTTTTTTTTTTTTTCTTTATACTTTTTCTCTTAGCTTGCTTGTGTGAGGGGAGAATCTCTCTCTCTCTCTCTCTCTCTCTCTGTTGCCTTCGTTAGAACAGAATATGTCGATTTTTGTACGCATCGAACGAGCTTCTCGCATGTGCGAATTTTTAATCCTACGATCTTTTTACGGAGAAACACTACAGAGATTTTCTTTATCTTTTTTTTTTCTTTTTTCTTTTTACATAGATCCGAATTTGCTGTCGATCGAAAGCTACCAGTTTTTTTTTCTGTCATTTTGCTTTTAATTTAGCGCGCTAATGGACGTTACAGATTCGAACGCTAGTCTCCGATATACCGAAAGAAAGAATAGACTGGAAGCAGCTAAAATTCTAAACCGAAAATCGTCAATCGTTACGAACCGACGGATCTGGCGTCAGTGATCTATTGGGGATTGCTCTGTCAAGAAATATCAAGGGCTCCATTGAAACTCGTGTATCGTGGGTGTACGTATATGATCATGTGAGACGCCATAATTCGTGTCAGGTCTGCGTGATGTGGGTTTCTATCGCTGTCTATGGAGCGAGAGATTCTTAGAAAATATTATAAAAAATTCCCACGTCACTAGAGACGTCAGCTGAACGTCGTTACACATCCTCTGTCGATCACTTTGGTGAAGAACTTGGTCTAGAAAAAATTAGTATACAACAGCTGTGATTTGAAATCCATTGGCCTTGCGCGTCGTGACGCTATTCGCGAGATCGCGGGAACAGAAAGATTTGTTAAAATAATCGAGCAAGCGTGCGATAGAAACGTCCATACCGTGAAAAATGGCATCCGTTGGGCACGGGGAAATAAAGTTCGAAAGAAACTCTGGCTACTAGCGAGCGTTCGTTTCCAAATTGCACTTGAATCAAATCGAAGCTCACGCTCCTTCTCCTATCGAATTTCCACCGAAACTCGTCCATATCAAAATGGAAGCGTGGTCGTGCCTCGCAAATATATTTCACCTACAATATTTACAAACGTCGTCTACAAAATTTTACAGCCAGCGACCAATAATTCGAGCGAATTCGAATGAAATTTCGCGGCGAAATTCATGAACGTGAAAAATACGAACGTTCCATCATTTGCCACAAATTCGAAGCAAACTCTTCGTCCTACGACGATTCCTCAGCTTCCTCGTATAAAAATCTTTCCGCTTGGAGATAAACGACAAGCGAAATTATCAGGGGCAACGCGAGGCGTCAATAAAAGTTCGTCTAACGGCGTGGCAAGCGAAGATTAAGAAATTCATCAGAGGCTGATCTTCGCCCGAACGTCTCCTTAAATTCCTAAGGCGTCTCTCTGAAGTGGATAGCTAGTTTCACAAAGATTTTCGCTTGAATACACGTTCGATCCGCCGGGCGACGCCGTGAAAATTTAATAAACGAAGTTGTTGCACGAAGATTCTCGTCGTCTTCAACAGCTATTATATAGAATCTTCCAGCGCCAATTTAATCTGGCGAACGAACAACGAGCTTAACAAGAATTTCAAACAGTTTCGATAAAACGGACGCGACGCTGGATCGCTGGCGGAGACGAGATCCCGGAATCGACGAGAAATCGCGATCCACGCTCGCGTGAGAGGGTTTTGAGATTACCTCGAAGGAACATCGCGTCGGAAATTGTTGATTCGTCGTTAAAGAAAATGATGCCAGCGATCGGTCGAGGAAGAGTAAGCGAAACGATAATAAAATTTCACACAGCAAAAACGTCACACACAAGTTTCTTCGTATTTTCGCGAAAGCACAGATCGAACGTAATCGTTCCAAGAAAGAAACGGCTTCGTTCCGCTAGTCTAACGATACGCAAGTGATCTTGATTTAGCTAAAATTTCCTAAATTATTTTAGAAAAATTCATTTATGTTACGTTTCGTATTTTTTTCCGTTTTTCTCTTTTTCTTCGGAGGGGGAGCTTTTTGATATCGTTTAATCATACTGGCCCTGTGCAAGGCTATTTCAGCGGAGAACGACGAGCTCGTGATTTGTTCGTTCTACATAAGAAACAACGTCGATGCGTGCGTCTAAAAGACAAACCAATGTACACGAACGATCAGAACTCGATTGTGGTATTTATCGGTTGTCACGACTGCATTCGTGCAATCAAATACAATTTTTTATGTGTCTGTGTGATCTGTGTACCTGTTGCATGTGTACAATGTGTATACGCGCGTTGAATCATTTACTCCGTAAACACTTCTTTTTTTTTTTCTTTTCGTATTTTAGTTGCAGCAAGTTCGTAGTGCGTGAAAAGCGTCCACGAGCTTGATCGCGAGGACCGAAAGTGGCTGTAAGTCCGTAAAAACAAACGGGGAAACGTCGACAAATATATCCAGCAGCAGCTAGGAAATACCGCGTGATCCTGCAGCTGACGACATTACATTCACGGCAAAATGAAAACGGAAAAGGACTCGTTCTTCTTTAAAGGCTTCTTACAATATTTACACGATATCTATTGATTCTACTGGTATAGTATCATTTTTTCTTTTTTCCGCTGTGTTTTTTTCTTTCTTTTTATCCACTTTCATTCTATTTCTTTCATTTTCTCTCGTTCACTCTTGCACATACTCTCGTCTTGCCTCGATCGGAATTTTGTCGAGTGACAAAGGTGGAAGTGTTCTCACTGCGTACATACGTATACAATATATTTATATGTATATATATATTTATATATATATATATATATATAATATTCTTATTTATATATGTATACTATATACACAAAGCGTGTTTTACTGTGTTTTCTCGTGTACATCTGTATGTGCATGTGTGATACGTGTTTGTTTGTGTGAGTGTGTGTGTGTGTTCATTTCACCAAATAGACTCTAATAAAACGTATAAACACGTCAACCTAGCGCGGCGATCATCAACGCGCCATTGTATCGATAATCGAAAACTTTCAATCGTGTACGATAATGATTATCTGTGATCCCAACCCATCGTTACTGAAACGTTAATTTGTTTCCTATTTTCTTTCTCTTAAGTTTCTCGCACGTTCGATCGTGAAATCGTGAAATTCATCGTTGGAACCTCGCGACTGGAATATACGCGAAATTTCTAAAATTTCTAGAGTTAGGAATTGAATCATGCGTTCGGCCCTAAGATGATCGGCTAGAGCGGCTCTCCATCTTTTTTAGGTTTTTTTTTCTCTCATTTTTTGCTCTCCCACATCTCTCTAACAATAAGTCGAAGCAACTATCGCTGTTCCGTCGGCCGAATTGAAAGAATTCTACGCGAAATGTTTTATCGAAGTTTCTCACGATTCTCTTTTTTTTCGTTTGTTTCTCTCTTCTTTCTTTTTTTGTTTCTCTTTCCCCCTCTCTTTTTTATTTAGTTGGCTCCGAACGACCGCGAACTATCTAATTTTCGAGCGAAAAATCTCGTTGGCGTTTCAGCTAATGACCCGATGCCGATTCACGAGCTGGCTGATAAATCGATAAGTCGATCATAGATATCTGATGCTGAAATCTCGTGGGGGTGGGTTTAGGGGCCTGGGAGGAGTCAGCGCAAAAAATTAAGGCCCCAGGGCTCTTTTTCTCTCCCTTCCCTTCTTTTCTTCTTTTTCTTTCCTTTTCTTTTTCTTTCTACTCTTATAATCTCTTTCCCTTTTCCCTCTCTTTCTTTCTCAAAAGTATGTCTCTTTAGTTTTTGTTCACTGTGACTGTTCTCGTGACAATACTCATCTCGTTGAGCTGGCTCCGCGAATGGGGGATTTATCCTGTGCGTACCTCATCGACAAGGACATTCGATTATTCGTTTCAACCCGCCCATCGTTTTTGCGGAATTCCTGTTGGAAAAAATGCTCGTGAAAGTTTTCGCTGGCGCCAATGCGCTTCCTCTCAAATTTTCTTTCACACACACTTTCTCTCTCTCTCTTTCTCTCATTCTCTCTCTCTCTCTCTCTCTCTCTCTCTCTTTCTCTCACGCATCCTTCGCTCACGCGAACGAACTTTATATGAACTGATTTGATAAAATCAGATCTGTAAAACGAAGGGGAGAAACAGAACAAAGCCATTTAACTCTGTAACTTCATAACAACAACAATTGGTTTCTCTAAATTAGGATTTCTACTTGTACGGTATCTATCGAAATGGTTTGACAAAACGATCATTACGAAATCAACAAGGCTCCTTTTTAATCGAGATACGATTACGAAAATAGAATCTACAGTGTCTGTCGTTATGGACGCGTTACTCTGAATTACGGCGAATTACCGCCGCGAATTACCAACAAAAAAAAAAAAAAAAAAAAAAAAAAAAGAACACAGAAAGAAACGCTAGCTCACTAATAATTCTTGCGTCTCGCAACAACGAAAAAGTAGTTTCGCAAAAAACAGAAGAGAGCGTACCTCTTGTACGAAACATTCGCGTATCATGGACAAGCGTGCACGCGTACCGTTTCAGCAAAAAGTAAGATTCAAGCGGATTACAATCTGAAATTCAACCCAGTGGTTCTACGTTCCAGAAACGATACGGTCTCGCAACAATCAGTAACTTCTACTCTCTGTTACAGCGTAAAAAAGTATCTCGTGCACGCTTCGTTCGGTAACAAGGATCATTGGCATAATACGATGCAGCGTAATCTATTGTACGGTAGAAGTTCTACAGATCTCGAGGTCGGATGCCGACAAACGGACAGGAAAATGAAAAATGAAAGAAAGAAAGGGGAAAAAGAGAAAAGAAACGAAAAGAAAAGGAAAGAAAAAAAAAAGTAATTCTGCATGAAAACACGCTGAGTTTCATGCGTCACGTACGATGGCGTATAACTATACAAAGCTATAGAGTACATCGTAACGAAAGGTGGTTTCTATTTTGGTAAATTATGGGACAACGACTGGGAGCGTGTACGTATGTGTATGTGTGTGTGTGTGTGTGTGTACGTATGTATGTATGTATGTATGTATGTGTGTGTGTGTGTGTGTGTGTGTGTCTAGCTATTTAAATAGTAAATCGAAACACAAAATGAACCATCTTACGGGTAGCGACAGGAAAGAAACCCCACTAACAGACCAGAGCGCAAAATTTGTTTCTTCGCTACGGTAGCGTAAGCATGTTCGTACGTTCAGTAGCGTACCAGGTGGCGACCCCACTAAAGAGCAGTGGTGCGCAGGTGGGGACAGCGCTGTAGCGACAGGCCCCGGGGCCCCAGCTCCTAAATGGCGTTCAATGCGCGCGGATCTTGCTGCTGACGACGCCTCGACGCGCTCCCGTAATCCACGCCACTAACGTACGATTCCTCCTCGTTGCCGTAGTCGTGTTCACCACGATCGCCCCGGTCACGGTCCATCCTCTCCAGCCTCGATTTCCGAGTCCCCTCGCTCACGTGTCCGCCGCTGTACGATCCTGACCCTGGATTTTTCGTAACATTGATTCGCTTTAGTCGTTTTAATCAGTCGACGGGGGTGGAGTTTTCAGTCAGCCTGAATTTCCGTAACTCGACCACGATGCCTGTAGATGTAGTTGCGGTTTAGTTACAGAAATTAGGCGTGATCTCCGGGATAAAATTCGAAAGGAGCGAATGTAGCGCTGAAAACATATCCAATCCTCGAGAGATAAATCTATTTTTTTTTAACACAATAGAGCAAGTGAGTAATTTTGAAAGTGTTTCACGTCCCTTTCGAATTTTGGTTACCCAAGCTCGACGATATCGGCTGATACTCTCCTAATTGATGTTACGGTATTAAAATATCGAGCTTGGCAATCGAGTTTCATTGATGTCACTCAGAAAACTAGATTACGGAAGAGGGTGTTACTTCGACGTTAAGCTTAGACGGTGAGGGACCAATCAATTCACTTAATGTGTCACACCTGGGAACACCGCAACGACACACCATTCCACATGTGCATGCAAGCTAGCTATGCAAAAACGAACAGGGGCCGGCGTACAAGAAAAAAAAAGACAAAGAAAAACGAGAGGGGAACCAAACAAAAAAAAAAAGAAGAAAAATAAATACACGGTTTCGCAGAGACTCCGGCGTTCGAACTATCGTTGCGCTGACGTGCGGACGTCGACGAGTTGACGAGTTCGTAAAACTGCGACGCAAGTCCTACCTCCACCGGACTTGCTTCGACTTCGATGGGTGAAAAAAATCGTGCTTTTCATTGAAGGTGGAACTCGGTGTTCGTTAAGAAAAAAAGAGGGGAGAAAAAAAAAGAACGGTGCCGAAAGAAGGCCAGAGCACAAAAACAAGCGACTATCCCAAAAGAAGGATTTCGAAGAATCTTCCGTGAGAGATCGCGCGCTGAAATTCTTCTTGAAACGGACCACGATCACGTGTAACAGTTTCCGAAGTTCGAGAAGTGAAAAGTTTCTCAGACGATCGAGTCTCAAGTTAATTAATTACTTGCTTCGTTAGACTATTCTATCAACCTACTCTATGTGAGAGGGGTTGGTGGTGGGCTTGCGAGACAACCAAGAGAAAAAACAAAAAAACAAAAAGAAAAGAAACAGAACGAACAGACAAGTGTAACAAGAACCGTGAAAAGAAATGAGAACTGAGAATCGCAAAAGGAGAATCACTTCCACGAAAAACAGAAACGCGGGCGAGAAACGAGTTGGTTGGAAATAAAAAAACAGAAAGAATGAAATCAATAGAAAACGGAAAAAAAAAAAAATAGTAACGGAACAAAGTGAGGAATATAATTGGGTGGACGAAAGTAACGAAAAATTAAATAACCAATCGATTAAATAAATAAATCCTTCTCTTTGGGTAAGAGAAACAAGAATAAGGCCCCGTTTCACCGGGCCCGTGCACCAAACCCGTCTATACTTACAACGCGGCCTCATTAACGACGTTTCCCTATAAACAGACAGTCTCTAACTCTCTCAATCGTCATGGTAATCTCCCCGCGTATTAAGATCACACGGGGAGGGAAAGGACGACAGAGTACAATCGGTCAGCCGGTATACGCTGTAAAATCTCATCCGCGATGAGGAGGAACAGTGTGTGTGTGTGTGGAAGAAGCGTTGGTCGTTCTAGGCCCGACCGTCGTCGTTCGTACGAGCGTTCTTTTAGCTCGATTCTTTGGGCTTGTTCTCATCACCTCGACCATAGGTGACCTGGCCCTGTTTTCGGATCACTCCCGTGGCAGCCACCGCCTCCACGGCTTTTACACAAAGAGAACATCGAAGTCAGAGCTGATTGCCGACAATACCTGGACCTGCTGATTTCTTTTCATTTTTCCTTTTTTCTTTTTCTTATCTTTGATTCGTCTCTTTCTCTCTTTCTCTCTCTCTCTCTCTCTCTCTCTCTCTCTCATTCTTACTCTCTCTATTCTCTACAGTTCAAGTTCGAGTGTGAATTTGTTTTTTTTCAACTATGTAAGTAGAGTCGTCGTTTTGATGATGATAGATTAGATTTTTTTTTTACGATGAAACGAAAGAAAAAAAAAAGACAAAAAAAGAAGTATAGAGAGATGGACGTTCACGTGCTTGTTCACGCGATGTTAGTCTTTCATAGCACGGTACACGCGTGGATTTTACGTGATCAACCCTTAACTGGCGGTTCGCAAGATCCGTTATTTTAAGATTTTCGATCCAATCAAGCAGTTGTCGCCCATCGTCCACGTGACGTGTATTTTCTTCTGCCTATTAATATTCTTGGTGGTCAATAAACACTGAGAAACTCAGTCTATGAAAGCGTGACAACGCTTCGAAATTATCGAGTTAAATAGTTGCAAAAATCGTCGTACCAGTTGAGGACACCGAAGGGGAAACAATGAACGCGTGATCCATGAAACTGTGACAATTCTCAGACTATCAAGAAGACGTTTCCCGTTGGAAACTCTTCGTTTCCAGTTTAATGAACATTAATAGTCGAACAGACGTCACGGACAAATCCACTCGTGTAAGGGTAGCAGACAGAGCACAGCGTGCACGAGGTAAGCTGCAGCTGAGATTATAATAAACGATCGCAGAGATGAGGATGAACAGTGACATTGACGACAAGGGACGATGGTGTCTCTTCTGGAGGAGCGCAAAAAGAGGAGGTGGACGTGTGCAAAGAAAAACAAAATGAAAAATGTGATTGAAACTAACGAGAACGAACGCGCCGCTGTCTTGCACAGGTTGACACGAGTTTCCCGATCCATATATCGTCGCTGAAAAGAAATTTTCGGTGTCAAGGGACGTCGTGATATCGGCGTTTCTCTCGATAATTTAAAGACTGCTAGTTTCTGCTTTCTGTTCGAATCATGCAGAGAAACGCGAAAGTTGAGGCAACAAGTTCGGTAGCTTAAATCAGCGTTGTTCGCTTTCTTTCTTCTTTCTAGATGCATGTACATATTAGAAGGTGGATATTAAAATTTTCACGAGAAAGGGAAGAAAGAAAAAAAGGAGGGCAAAGAAGATTCGTCGGGTTTGCCAGTGTATTTCGAACAGCGCTGATTTAAATGGAAGGAGGAAAGGGAACAGGGTATTTACACACTGAAAAAATGAGAGATGTACCTTCTCGCGCCGTCATTCGAACGTTATAGCGTGCGCAAACACGAAGGTAGAAGAAAGACGTGCAGCGTACATCGAACGATAACGTGTCCCAATAATTTACAAGGCTGAGTGTAGGCCTGCGACCAGCGACCAGCAGTCTTTTCAATAAAGAGTAACTCTACGTTTCAATCACGAATCCATGCAACGGCTACGTGCAGCTAACGACACAACTACAGACGTGTTTCATTACTAGCTTCGAATGTCGCCACTGCTCTTTCTCCGAGCCTCGATGATGAAAAAAAAATCAAACAAAAGGAGGGGAGAAAAGAAAAGTACCCGAGCAACGTAAAAAATACAATAATTTCTTCTCGACGTTCGATCGACATTTATATTCTATGGATTGAATCGTTTTCTCTCTACGTCTTTTCCGGGCAAGTAACAGGGGACAGGAGCTTGCGTGACGTTGAACTTAGAAAAAGGGAAGGAAGAAAGAAAGGAAAGGAACGTAATGTCGCGCTCGAGGGAAAGGTTGGGTTCACCTCTTGGCTCGTGGCCGTAGTAACTCTCACGATGGGCAGCTGAAGAGGCAAGAAGAAAGTGTCGAGTGTTAGTTGACGGAATTGGGGCTCGTTAGAGCTTCAAGTGAAACCTCGACCCGACTGAGTCGCGTCGCTGAGGGGCGAGGACCATTGACTGAGGCTGTGTGAGAAGGATCGACGGTACCGTGGACGAGAATAATGATGATGGTATGTCGCGATCACCGAGCTCGAATAATTCGCTGTTAGATCGTTGACTGATACATGATTGGTGTCGTTGTCTGAGACAACTTCCTGTCTCTGTCTGTCGCGAGATGAATCACGTGAGGTGTAGAAAATTTCTCCAGTTCACTCCAGAAATGAAACGATCCAATATTTGTGAGATATACTTTCTTGAAATACAAATACTCTACTCCTCTGCGAAGGTGCACAATCCTAGCCAGGCGATTCTCCGCGATAATGAAACTCACGTAGAATATTTGTACTTGGTGAACATTCTGCCACGAGATCTCTGAGGATGTTAACGATAGAGACCAGAGTGGACGCGTCTCGCACTGACTATATTGCGATACCTGATGTGACGCGAGGTGTCAACGCGTCGACCGGCGCGTCCGCAGCAGGAATCGGACGTGGCACTGTAGCGATCACTTGAGGATGCGTGGCTCTCCAATAAGCTTCCAGGTACTCGGCCACGTGTTCGCATGCGTCCTCCAGCTGATTTTCGTCCAAGATCACGTCGAACATCTCCGGTGGACACTGGGCCAACTTCTCAGCAGCCACCATTTGTACGTTCAGGTGTCTGATCTGCGACTTTCCACGCGACTTGATCAACCTTTGGAGCACTTTGGGTGAGGAGATCTTCAGGTAGACGACTGTCGGCGCTAGGCTGGTCTTCATCAACTGCGACGGATGATTGATGGTGTCGCAGTCCAGTACCACCAACTGGAAACGAATAATCGTGAGCAGACGATGCTTGGAGGGAAGAGGATCGTTTGGTTGATGTGGTATACCTGAAGTGTTCTGGCAAGCTCGAAAATCCTCTCGATCTCCGCTTGAACTTCCGCCAAGCAGCTGTTCCTGCTCGTCGATCGGTCCATGATCGCTCGTTTCGTTGGATTGTTCAGCAACGATCTCTTTGCCAGTGAAATGTCTGCCATAACCCTAGTGATAATTATTCTGGAACCGTGAGAGCGAACGTTAACATGGAAAGCGCAAGCAACGAGATGCAAAATGGATACAACATGTAACTTCACTCGTACGAAGAACCGCTTAAGTTTAGAGAAAGTTTCGCGCACCTGCCTCGGAACCGATGCTTCAGATAATCGAACAACGCCTTCTGCATCATGTCCGTCACCTGATAACCCTTCAATGATGGACCGACCAGGACGACGGGCCTCATGGATGGTACAACGTCGTACGGCGTGGTTGTTTCCTGAAACCGGGACGAACGAATGAGTCTAGACCGATCAAGAGGACGTACCGCACGCCAGGATCAGCCCCAGGATAGTCTCTCACTTACGTAGGACTTCGTGAGCACGGAATGCAACATTGAAAACATTGAAAACAGTTAATGGCCACGTCGACTCGAGACAGTGTACGACCTACCCTCCTGCACGGCCAAAGTCCTTTTCCCTGGCAATGTCGCCATCTCATCGATCATCTTTCTTCGGCATCCCAAAGGCACTTTGGCCAGGCAGTGCGCGCGTGTGTGTGTGTTTTCTTTTCTTTTTCTTTTTTTTTCTTTTTAATTAAAAAAAAAAAATGTTTCTTTTTGATAAACTACTTTTAGTTGGACCTAAGCTATCAACGATCTCCTACGTGCTAAATCTGCTCTTGCTAGAAGCTAGTATTCTACCGTGTTACTGGCGAACCATTTTCAGCGAATAGATCACACGTGCTTTCATCAAGATAAGGCATCCTCGACGAAATCGTCCTCGTCGTGGTAAAATGGTCCGCTGAGATCGAACGATTGTTGCTCGATTATCGATCGATGCTAGAAATTGCTACTCACATCGACACACAATGAGATACGTGTGCTCTAAGACACGGGAACGAGGGAAAAGAAACGTCTAGCACAGTTCACAGAGCAGTCAGCTGAGAAACGATCGATCCATACGACGAAAGAGTAATTCTCGTTAGCGTAATGAGTTAATTTATTCCGAACTGAAAATTGTTCGATGAATAATTCTCTCTGGTTTGGAGAGTTAAGAAAGTCTGAATGCTCGATGCACGTTTCCGTTCTTTCTTACTTTCTTCTTCGTCTTTGATTTAACAGACATATACACGATGCACAGAGACAGGTATCATACACACAGTCGCATACTCACAGAAATAAATCTGCTAGTCCTCGCGTGGCCCACGATATTTTCTAGCACCGACAGATAAATTTAGACACATAAGCCTCGTCCACGTCACAAGCTTTATCGTACGCGAATCTCTGCCAAACTGACGAAAAATTTTGATTGGCCCATCCAATATCAAACAGAGCATATCTTTATCCATAGAATCTAAGATATTCAACAGATTCCCCTTGAATATCTCAAATTTCACGACTTTTCAACGGTGGTTACAGAAAGTATTTGATGTGGTTAAAGTATTGTACTAGGTCCAAGTTAAATGTTAAATTTGTTAAAACACGACTGAAAAAAATTTGATGCTACGAAAAGAAAGTGAAAAGATACTTTTTGTAGCCACTGTATACTCCCGCCTACAAGCATTTGGACACCTTCCTAATGAATTATGAAACTATCAAAGGGACGATCGATCGATTACAATTTTATAAATTCTATTCTTAAAAGTTCTCGATGAATGTTTTCAAAGAACCGTTCAAATTTTCATAGGCGTCGCAATACCGGTAAACGAGCGTGTACAAGTCGAGTTCGTGCGATCGTGGACGAGACTTGTTCGCTGTAGATACATATTTTCTACTTTCAAGCTCTCTGTCGACTACTAAAGACCCAAAGAAGTAATCAAGCACGACGTCAGACGAGTGTACACAGAGAAAGGATTGGAGTAGTCACAGACACTGCGATTCGTCGAAATCGTTTACCGGCTTCTTGAAGAAGTTCTTCCGTTTCTCCTTGGCCGGTGGCGTGGTCAGCGTTGCCTTACCGCCGCGGACGCTGTCGCTGTCGTCACCTGTCGAGGAGAAAGAAATTTTCATGGAATTAGTCGCGGACATCGATCCTTTCGTAGTCGTCGTGCATCGGCGGGTGTCCCTCTTTCTCTCAAAAAGGAAAACTAGAGTGAGAAGCGATCGAATGCAGACTAAGAAACCTAGGGTACTAACAAGTTCGAATGCTGTCGAATAAATGATTGTCTGGAGAGATCGTGGAAGCAGCTACTGAGAAAGTTTATTTACAGCAGAGAATATACTAGACTGGGTCTGTGCGGTGGTTGTGTGTCGGTGGGGCAGGATCGATTGATCGCACTTTTTCGAGTTTGAAAACTGTGAGACGAGTGAATATTGCCACTAATATGTATGTATATACAGGGTGTTTCGTGGAACCCACTTCGGAAGCTGATTGTACGCCTAAAAATAATGAAAAAAAGTCATATAAATATATGTCCCATTTGTTCCATCTGTCTTGACTCGAAATGACCATGTTGCATTCGAAGCCGGCATGCGTCTTGTCATTCATCTGGTTACTCTCTCTATTATTCCTGGTGTTTCTCGAATTTGTCGGAAGCCTTGCTCTATTCTATTCCCTAGTATTTCAGCATTTTCAATCGATGTTGCGTATACAATAGATTTTAAATGTCCCCACAAATGAAAATCTAATGGATTCAAATCCGGAGAACAAGCAGGCCACGCAATAGCACCTCCACGACCAATCCATTTATTTGCGAAGTGTTGATTTAAAAATTGCCGCTCGGCTAAAATGCGACGGAGCTGCATCATGCATAAACCGCATACGAAGTCTAATATCGACTGGAACTTTTTCTAATATTTCGTGTAAACGCGTGCTCAAAAAGTCAACGTACTTTGTGCCAGTTTTCTATCAAGAAAAAAAAAAGGTCCAATTAAAAATTTATCAATTATTCCTGCCCATACGTTTAAACTAAACTGGTGTTGATGTCTTGAATCCACAATAACATGTAGGTTTTCTTCATCCCAATTATGATTATTATGAAAATTGAATATACCATCCCTGGTAAAACTAGCTTACTAGAGTTTGCCCTGTTTATAAAATTCATTATATCTCATAAACGAAGACAGATAGGACTTATATTTATATGACTTTTTTTCATTACTTTTAGGCGTGCAATCAGCTCCCGAAATGGGTCGCACAAGTTACGAAACACCCTGTGTACATCAAGCGTGTGATTTTGTTCGTGCGTGGAAAGTCTCGAATTGGCATCGTTTTTTTTTTTTTTTTTTTTTTTTATTCTACGTACGATATGAAAGATCGATAGTTTTGGCGTTAGAGAGGCGAACATGCAGAAAAATGTCCCCAATGACCAACGAAACGTCGACTAAACTCCCTATGATCTAACTCGCGGAACTCTGATCATCGCTAGCCGAGGATCATCCATCCTCGTGACTAAATGAAAACGAGCAAAGAACAGTGGTGATAAGGGAAAGAAAAAAAGCTTCGCGGAAGATGCTGCGTGGAAAGAAACGAAAGCTACTATAGTGTTTGTATTTGTTCGGATACTTAGGGACAACTTAGGATTTTTCTTTCTTTTGTTTCTTTTTCTTTCTGTTTTTATTAGCGTTCTTTCTCTGTCGTATATTTTTCTCTGTTTCTTTCGTTGTCGGCCTCTCTCTCTCTCTCTCTCTCTCTCTCTCTTATTTCTTTCTTTCTTTTCTATTATTTTTGCACGACGAGCCGACGTTCTTCCTCTCTGCGGTCTGTGTTTTCGCCGTCGAGGCATCGATCGGTCGAGAATTCCCGAACTGGTCGGGTACACACCGTGGTTTTCGGGGCGGAAAGAAAGAAGGACGTGCTAGGATACCTGGTGTAGGTGGTGTGGAACCACGTGAGGGCATACCACTCTCGCCAAGGTTCCCTGAAGACCCTCCACGCGCCGAATAGAGACCCTTTGTACCACGTGCAGCGCTCGCCTGCTGCCTCAGGGCCTCCAATTTCACCGGCGATGGGATGAAGCCAACGTCCGAGTTCTCTTTCACCAGTCTACCTATCCACCAGTTGTTGTCGTACTTCTCCTAAAAGAGTACGGAGATCGTTAGTTTGAATTCGTTAATTGGACTGTACAGTGACTCGCGTTTGAAAGAGACACGGACGTACCTTGATGTGCAGAAAGTCGCGGACCTCGAAGCTGACAGCTGAGCCATGGACAGGCGAGTCGTCGTCGACGGATCCATCGTAGCTCACGTTGGTCCGCACTGCGAACGCTACCGGTTTCGTCTAAATAATTTACAAACATCTTCCCATTAACAACACGCCATAAGACATAAAAAATTGATAATTCTACGTGTAGAGAATGTTTAGAAAGTTAAGGAGGATTTTTCTCAGAAATTTTTGCGGACGAAACGTTACGTTAAAAAAATAAAAAAAAAAAAAAAAAACGCATTGCTCCAAATTACGCGAATTACGAACATACGTGATGAAGAG